ATATAGAGACAAACAACCTTCAGGATATACTCCAAAATAGTTCACCAACCTCCAATACAGAATTAATGATCCCACAATCAAAACATTATATCTACAAAGCAATAATACAAATACTTTACTCCAAAGCACTAGCTTAATAGAGTATCACACATAACAACAACATTGGGCAGCAACTTATATAAGGGATACAATTACTATCAGCAAGAATAAAAGAAATAATTTAGATGGTAGCATAATTAACACACATTGCCATAATACAACAAACAATGAATCAACACTCAGCAAATGCAATGGATACTTTTTGAACGAAAAGGGTAATGATCAGAACTGCTTATTCAACACTAAGGCACAGAAAGCTGTCAGAATTCCAGTTGTGGCAAGTTACACATCCACCTTTCAGCATTTCATCTCAAATAGAAATCTTCAGTATAGATCAAGAGTATTACCAGAATAAATTCACACCACATTAAATCAAATACACACAACTCAACAAGTCTACAATCAGCCTCCAACAGTAAACATTTTCCATAATGCAGTATTCTTACACATTATAATACACCTTATCGGTAGCCAAGACTGAATTTCTAATCTCATAACTATATCCAAAAAGATAACTACACACTCACACTTCAAAATCTACACAGATGGTTCTCTTAACAAATAGAATAAAAAATCACATATGGGACTAGGCTAGATTATCATCACTTCAAACAATGAAGAACACACATTTAGAACTCAAACCCATATACACCTCTCATCCTCAAGAGCAGAAATTATAACCATAACAACTGCAATATTAATTCTGCCAGAAAATTCAACAGTTGATATTTTCACAAATAGCCAAATAGCAATCAGTTGTATTCAACAGACTTTGAAAGCCTTAGAATAATGCCTTATTAGAAAACAAAAGAACTTTCACATGCTTCAAACCATAAAAGATACCTGAATTGCAAGATATCTCAAATTGCAAATGCATAAAGTTCAAAACCATTCAGATATCAAACATAATAAATAAGCAGATCAATTGGGTTCAATAGGTATAGGTCTACAAGAAATGCATCCAGGCACCAGTATTCTCAATATTTAACCCACTCAGAATCCACAAACATATATAATAACACAGTAGAACAACATCCAAATCGACATACCTATAAAAAATATTTGCAAAAAGATTATCCAGGCAAAGTATATTATACAATGACACTTACTCAACAGAACACTTACAGACTTTACTGAACAATACAAACATATCCATTGGCAAGAAATATACAGCCACCTACATCCATTTCAGATTAGTAACACAAATACCTCATTTGAAGACTAGCAAATTTGCAAGTTCTTATTAAACCTATGAAATAACGAACTTCCAACCAAAACTAAATTATATAGTAGAAAACCATTATTATATAAAGATAATAAATGCTACAGTTGTGATCAAGTGGAAGACAACTATTACCCTTTCCTATATCAACACAACAAAATAAATATTAAATATCAAGCCATAACAATGATTCAGAAAACAATACTTAAGCACATACCTAGAAAAAGGAAAAGTCAAGTATTAACTATAATAAAGAGCAACATATCTTTGGATATTTTGCAGTAGCTCAAATTATTTATCAAAGGGGCCTTCTTTAAATCCACTATCGAAACAATCCACCAAACAATTCACAATGCAGTCAAAGCAAAAGACTGCATAGTCAAAATATTGTAAGAATGGAAAAATTCCTGTACTCAACTTGAAAGGCCAGAAATAAAACATTTTAAAGGTAAAAAGAGGAATATAGAATCTCAAGGAAAAAAGAAAGACATTATAAATATGAAAAAGCACCTTCAAGCCCAACTAGATGAATAAACAAACAATTTATTAAAATAGTTTCATAAACTTAATTAATCAATATATAAAACAATTTATCTTGAAAACACTAACATCACATCTATCTTTTCTTTTGAACCCAGCATTAGCTTCACCTTGATAAGTTAATCCTTTCTTAGTTTAAAGTGGCAATAAGACATCTGATAGATTCATTAGAATATTTAATTAGTTCTGAGAAGTTTAATAGCATATATGATATTTTTTGTAATCCCTACAATGTACAGTTGTATATTACTTTAGCAAGCTAATAAACAAGACCGAGCCAGCTATAAAAAAAAATATATATTATATAAACTATTATATAATAATTAATTTATTATTTTTGACCTGTGGGTCTATAGCACAGTGGTAGTACTCCCAGGTCACAATCACAAGGTCCATAGTTCAGTACCATATGAGGGCCATTTGAAAGATTTAAGAAATGAAAAAACCATCTATAACACAAAACACAACCAGGTTTAAGAAAACACTGATCATCTCCATTCCGGTTTCATACAAACAGGGTTTTTCCATTTCCAGTTCTAAGTGGGTTTTTCTCCTTATAAAAGGCACAATCTACACAGCTGAACACAAACAAATCTGGGAAAGGTACCAAAACTGGCAATAGTGCCACGTCTATCAAGAACCATTTGAAAGGTGTACTTCTCCTTTCACGGAACTAGCAAGTCAAGCCTGGCAAGTTAGTTGGGAGGAATCCGGAAAGATTGAAGATCCAAAAAAATAGGGGTGTCTAGGTTTCCTAGATAGGTAGTAGTAGAAATTTAATCTGATCAGATATTTCCAGGCAACAAGCTGTCCAGTGGATTCTTTAAAAGTAGGGTTCTAGGAATGTTTGTCAACATAAATGATATAAATATGTATTCCCTGCAATTAAATTGTAAATTACTATATCAAGTTAATAAATGAGGCTGAGCTTCCGTTCCAACAACAATTAATTTATTATTTTTTATATTATAGATCTATAGGTCAATAGCATAGTAGTAATATTTCCAGGTTGCAATCATAAGATCTGTAGTTCAATACTACTTAAGAACAAAAAATCAAAATTATCCTTCTGATCAGGTTTAACGATTATTCTATAAAATTTGTACTTAATCATTTGGAACAAGCTTCAATCAGGTTAGATTATATAAAGATGAGACTTCTGATTTTTCATCGATTAGGGGCTGTGATCTACAGTTGTATTATTGGAAGAATTGCATGAAGAAAGGCTTCTGGTCTAAATCCACCATAAATATTTCACAAATTTCTACTCTTTTAGTCTCCAAGAATCCACCTTTCTAGCTTAGAATATTCCAATATAGTATTACGCTTAAATGAAAATTAGTCAAATGGGGTTAATTTGATGCCATATGTGATAATAAAGAAGATAAAGTGCTTCTTTTTGAGGCTTGAATAAGTAATATCTTTGGAAGTATTGAAGAGTAAAACTAAATTCTATCAGATACATACTATACAGTCTAATTTAGTGAATATAATACAAAAATTTATAAAGCTTACTACTAAATTAGCCTGTTTTGTTGTTTATGACTATGTATTTGATAGTCTAACCCCTAGCTGTATCTGCTCTACTCATAAAGTAGTAGCAGGTATACTTAGAAAAAATTGTGATAGGTTATTATTAATCTGTATATATATAGAAATATATAGTTTATATAAGATTATTGATGTCATGCCTTAAAGAATTTCATTATCCAAGATATTAAGTTATTTCTTAATAAAAAACTACTCACATCTAATATCAGTTGTAGTTTAAAAAAAAAATTATTTTTTATTATTAATTATAGGATTATACCTTTTAAATAATATTGAAAATTTATTATAATAATTTAAAATAAATAAATTAAAGTTTAAATAAGATATTTAAGTTATATACGTATATTCTGTTTTTTTAATAAATTAATAACAAATTTTTATTAATTAAAATCATTATCCATGATTTATTATTTAATATTATTTTAAAAAAGTGCTATATTGAAAGCACTTATCTAATTAAAATAAAATAGTTATTTTAAAATTTTAATAATCAAAATTAAAGTTTAAAAGTCTTAATTTTTTTTTTAAAAAAAAATCTTTTTACAACTTAAGATATTCAATGAATAATAAAGGACAATATTGATATATAATTTTTTATATCTTTTTTAATATAATAGCTATTTTTTTAAAAGTTTATTTGGTTAAAAAATTTTTTTCTCTATTGATTTTTATTTTCTATTACCAATATTATTTAATATATAATTATAGTTATTATATAATTATTTATATTTTAAAATTCAATGTATTTTATATTGATTAATTATGTTTAATAAAAATAGTACTATCCAAAAAATGAATTGAATATTAAACTGAGATAAATAAATTTTTCTAGAAAATCATGAAAGCTAAAGCTTCAAAAAAGACAAGAAAACTAGTAGAAAAAAAAGACAAGTTCATTTATTATAAAAAATATTTATAACCATTTTACTTAAAGATAGAAAGGTTTTTAGATATTTATAGTTGTTCTTATTTTTTAAAAAATATTTGTGCTATTAATGGTAAAGGTGTTATTTGACTCTCTTTGATTATTAGGCGTTATGTTTTTGATCAAAGAGATTTGTAAACAAGAAAGAAATTATAGTACCAATTCTTAAAGATACTCTTAAAGTTATTTTAAGAATTGCCACAAAACTTTATTAATCGAAAAGTTCAAAAACTTTTGATAAACATTTTTTTGTATGTGATCAAAGAATTATTGAAAATAGTATTTTTAAAATTCTTGATAAATTTAATTTTTTGCTAATTTTTTTGATAAAATACTATTAAAATTTTAGATGTAATTAGTCGCAATTAAAAAAATTCATGTTTTTATTTTTATCCATAAATTTAATCACAAATAAAAATTTATAATTACAAAAATTTATTATGAAAATTCAAAAATTAAAGATTTGTTCTTTTTCAAAAAAAATTTTTTTAAGGAATTTGTGAAAAAAATACAATTTTTAGAAAAAATCGGCATGATAAGATTCGGCAGTAAAGTTGCAGGAATAATGCTAATCATGAAAAAGATTTTTATTTGTACTTATGATAAAGCAAAATATTTTAAATCGTATAAAATAAAAAAAAAAAAAAATTAAAGACAAACGTGTTAGAGAAATAGCTTCAATAAAATGTTTAAATGTATAAACGACAAATGTTTTATAAAGAAACCTATTTAACGTGATGGCTGTTTAAAATAATAATAATAATAATAATAATAATAATAACAATTGTTTACTATCATAATAATGAACTAGATTAATTTTACAATAAGTCGAAAGTTGAATTTAAATAATAAGAAAGACCTAGTACAAATAGTATTTTGATTTGATTTCGGACCCTGAAACCCGAGGTTCCGATTTTTTAATTTTTTAATTTTTTAATTTATAATCGACCTAATCCCGAAACTCAACACTAGCACTAAACGCGTGAGCCATCACGAATCGATCTTCATTCTCTGTGCAAAAAAAAAAAGTTGAGAAAACTCACATATACTGGAAAGCAATGGAGAATAAGACTTAAAAACTCATTAGGGACGTATCGTAGGATATTAGGCAGTTTAAGTAGTGCGTCACCGCCGTCTCATACAGTGTTTTCTAGTATTAAGGATTATCAATACCGCTTGTCGTTAGAAAGAAATCATAATGCATTATCTAAAGACCATTGAATAAAGTTTTTATTCACCTGATTATCATGTTTTTGTTTCAGGACTTGTAATCTTGTTTAAGGAGCAATTATCTGAACCTATATAAACTTTTGCCTTCAAGAGAATCTCATTGCCAACAATATATTTCTGGTGTCGCATGTTATTACTGGCGAAATTCAAACAAACAGTCACGTTGCGTACAGTATTTAAACCATGAAAACCTCTCTACTCTTACTTGCCTATATATCAATTCACCCCTCATACCATCAGTTTAGTAGAGTATTCTCCATTGGACAATCTTAGCTGGCCTCTATATCTTGAAACTCAGAAGAGATCTCTCTCGTTTGATCAATTCCCCTCATTGGTATTCGATGAAAACGGAGCACGCTTGGAAAGACGCTTGGATACAGCAAGGAACATAGACCTTGATGTCACCTTTACCGGTCCAATCATAATTGGCAAGCAAAAATTTAATGTAGCTTTTGACACTGAATCTGCAGTTCTTTTTGTACCGTCGATTAGATGCAAATAGTTTGCTTGTGCAACTCAAAATAAATTCGATGAAAAAATTTCAGAAACATATAGATCGCTTAACGATCACTACACTAGAGTATACGGGGGTGGACCTGTCAATATGGAAATAGGATTAGATGATGTGACTATTGCCGGGTTTACTGCAAAGAATACATCTTTTGGCGTTGCCACAGAAGAATTTTCAGGGAGGAAAGTTCAAATTCTTGGCGACGGAATATTCGGAATGGCACTCGATGGAAAGCATATAAAAATAGCCAACTCCATTTTCCACTTTGGTCAAGCAGGGTAGTTTGAAGGACCCCGTAATAGGAATGTATTTTTCTAGCGGAGACACTTCCTCCTTGAGAGTTGGCGAGGTCGACAAAACCAAGTTTACCGGTCCGCTAAAATTCACGAAGATTATTGATCCCACTGAATAAAAAGTTGTTCGAAATCAAACCCATTCATCCTTTTCCATTCGGTTCCCTCGTTCAGTCCAGTTCATTAGTGATTAACTGTCCCCCACAAACACGCAGCTATTATTTATAAGTCGATTCGCGGTGCAAAAGAAATAGATAAAATCAACGGAATTTATGGAGTCCCTTGCGACATTAAAGACACGCTCTCATTTAAGTTTAACGGTCAAATATTTAGACTAAATCTGAGAGACTGGGTACTAAATACAGGTTGACAATACAGGACTTTGTCACGGAGGAATAGTTGGACATCCAAAACTTAAATATTGGGTTTTGGGCACTATCTTCATGAAAAATGTCTACATTGCATTTAATTTTGAAACACATGAATTAGGATTAGCCCGCAGTGTTAAAAACTAATCAGATTTTTAATTATTTATCTATTAGACTTTTTTTATAAAAAAATGTTAAAGTGCGTTTTTTAACATTCTGCCGTGATGTTTGATAAAAAAAGAAAAAATAATAATAACAAACAATATTAATCATAATGATAATTATAATATCATTACAACTGCAATTATGATTATATAAATAAAAACAATAGAATACGTAGGTGCATATCAGTACTGAATATAAAATGGGAAATACATAAACGTATTACAGACGTAAAAGTTAGATGATGAAAATGGTGATTTCTAATAAAATAATTGTCTATACGTTTATGTTAAGGAATGCGTATACTATGGTATTACTAAAATGACATATTGTATCAATAATAAATGCATATCATATATGATCTTTCGTTTCAACCGTTAGCCTTCAGATAACTCAATTAAGTATGTTAGCCAAATCCATTTTTCCTAGAGCCTTCCCCACTTCTTCAATTCTCTTCATTTCAGAAGCGATGTTAACTAAAACCTTGAATTTTTTTACTGATAAAAAAGGGGGCGATTCGTAAATAGACCTTACCATATGTCTTCTTCAAAAAACAGTGAATTACTTACTTTTCATCGTATAAAATTTATTTTTTACTTGATTAGGGGTACACCTAGGAGCAGATTCGGGAAGACTTCCATTGATTTTATCGGATATAGGCTTCCACCGCCGCCCACCGTTCTTTATTTCGGGACTTAAAATAATAACAATATGTTTGTCGGTAAACGGGTACTTTCCTTTCCTATCAGCATCAAGTCTGACTGCATATATTAACAGCAAGGTTACTAGATCTGCCTAAGAAATAAAAGAAACACGCATAAGCATACCTTCTTTCTTTAAGTAATTATTATACCTGTGAGATTAATGAGAAAATAAACTAATTAGCGTTCCGTGCCTTAAAATGGTGGATAACAAATAATAATAAATTGTACCAACTTTTCTTGCAATGATTTTCTTTTTCTGACTATTTTAAGTGGATTGCGCTCATTAAATTCTGCTTCGATGTTTTCCCAGTTGAGTACTTTTTCTCGTTCAATTATTTCTAGCAATAAAATTTCCTCCTATATATATATATATATATATATACGATACGTATTTTTTGCAAAAGGATTAATGGTTGCACATCCGAAAGTATTATTTTAATGTTTCAATGAAGAGAATGGCATTCTCACATTTTTTTTCCAACGATTGATCGTTCTCTTTTTGGAGGTTTCGGTTTTTCCCATTTGAAAAGAAATTAAATTTGTAAACTTTACGTTCAAGTGGTCGAAACAGAGGGCGTTTTTAAATGATAATGAACAATCACAGCGCAGCTATCTTCTCTTTCAGAATTTGTACATGACTTTAATCCACCCGATTGTCAAAGTCACATTACATTGTTTAAGGGTAAGTGATAATGTTTCAGAATTCAAATTCGGAAAATTATTTATCTCCTCGTGGGTTAGAAAATGGGAAATGTTTACTTTATACTAACGAATACTGAAAATTCCTTTCGATTCAAATGATCAAATACGTAAAAGAATATCGTCAGATGACCAAGCACGTAGAAGTGTTTCGCATTAATGAGGGGAGCCGTGTAACTCATTTGTCCAAGAACGTTTATTCTCATCAAAAATATTTCTCGTAATTATCTTACCTTAATCACGGAAATTTACGAAGAACAAATAAATTTGGAAACACGTACAGTATCTTATTTACATATCTTAGTTAATACGTCACCACGCGTTGTGTGCTCATGCGCAAATTTTAACCATACAGAGGCCAAAATCAACAATGGTGTTTGCCATCAAATGAATGAGCTTTAAAAAGTATGTAACACGGAAAATCAATCGTATTTGGCAAGTACATGCATATGTGTGGGACTTTCTTCTGTAAGAGAAATTTTTTGAGTGGTAGTACAAAATTAATGCGCATCCAAGACATCGCATATACTACGTATATTTGCAAATGTAGTTTGCATAACCTAATCGGTTATTTCCATAGTAACATCGAATCATTGACCCTGAATATGTACTGTAGTCGTCATTTGATTAAATTCAAAAATTCCAAAACAAAGTGCATTCTCTTTTAATGATTTCCCAAAAAACAAATTCATATATGCAGTATCTTTATTGACCAACGGTCTTTTCCGTTTCAAAATTATTTTGGACAATAGTCGGAATAATAAATCGTGAAATAAAGAATTGTGTAAACATTCTTTATCGTTGGTTATCTCGCAACACCGATTATCACGTTGTCAAAGTTTTTATTTCATCTCGCATGCTCATAATAAACATGTAAGCGCCATACAAATACGACTGCAAATCAGACACTTTATAAATATTCATGTAATCCATCCATTATTTCGTATTTAGAAATATTAATTGGCTCGTTTTCTAGTCATAATTATATATTTTACTATATTATATTTATTTAAATGGCATATTTTGGTTATTAATGAATAGCAATGTTCATAGTTATTAATTTTATTTACATTATTAAAGTTTATCGAAAAATAATATTACATTTCTATAAATTTGTTATTCTTAGATTATTTATTAATTATTTTGTAAATCAATAAATTGTTAAAGTTAAAATGTATATAGAAAATAAATTCAAATTATAAAATATATACTGGAAATATGCTTTATAAAAATAAATATAAAAAAAAAATTCTCTTTTAAAAATTTAATATCAAAAACATTGTTTTATAATCATATAATAATAAATAAATTTTATATATCTAAAAAATTTTTATAAAAATTTTAATATCTAAATATAGTTTTATAACTATTTGATAAAAATTTTTATACAGTATATAGTTTAAATTTTTTTGATAATATTTTTATTAAACCGTATATTTTTACTATAAATATTTAAGCTCTATTCTTTGGTTAAATTTTTTTATTTGCCTATAATAAAAATAATAAAAAACAATCTATTATAAATCTCAAATTTTTTTAAAAAAATACAATTAATTTTTCATGATTATAATTTTAACTTGAATTAATAATTAAAATAAAAATAAAAAATTCTATCAAATATTTTATACATTATTTTTAAATATCAATTTAACTTATAAATTTAATATAATTGTTTTTAAAGTTTTAATTATTATATAAAATTTCATTATATATTTTAATTTTAATAATTTTTAAATTCTCAAATATTATTTGTATTTTTTTTTTCAAAATTCCTTTATGTTAATTTTTGAAATTTTTAATTAATAAAAAATTATCAAAAAATTAATATTATTAATTTGTAAAATTTATATTTAAAATATATTTTAATCTTAAAATTTATTTTTATATAAATATATATATATATATATATTTTTAGATCACAAATGAGCATTAAATGTGGATTTTTATTAGAAAATTAATTCTTAAACATAATATTAATAGTCTTTATATTGGTAAATTAACTATAGCCTATTGTGATTTTTTTATTATACCGCACTACTAGACAGTATTCAGGTTCACCAGAATAGGGTCAAATAGTTAATACCCATTCAAAAATGATGTTATTATTGAGTGAAGAAATAAAGATTTTTGTGTAGATTTGTTTAGTAAATTTGATGACTCGATAATTATTTTTGAGATATTGTTACTATTTGTTTATTTTCACCTTGGTCAGGTATATTGGTTCCTTTTGTCTTGTTCCATTTGATTCCACTGATAGGTGAGATATTCGCTGTGGCAGATCTTTGTTTCCAAATTTTATAAAGGACTTTTAATGATACGTTCATCAGTTGGATTTGTAGTTTTTCACTAGATAATGACTCTAGGTATTGGTTGGGCTCTCTTATAGCGATGTTAAGTATGATATCCCCTTTAGATAGTGTTGTTATTGAGTTGGCTTATATATGGTTTCTACTTTGTTTTTTTAGAATTTTGTTAAGTTTTGGTAGTTTTTTTTTTATTGTTTCACTACTTTCAATACAATTGAAGATATAGAGCTAATCTTTATTTGTGTGGTCACATCTGGGGCACCTTGAATTTGTGTATAGTATGGATATCTCTTGTAAAGTTTGTCTCTTATAGATAATAAGTTGAATAATAACTTTATTCTAAAGGTAGTTAAGGCTCTATAGTTATATTTATCCATTTTCCAGCAGCTTTTGTTAACTTGTTTTAGTCGTAAGAATTCAGAGATGTTGTTGGGTTTGTATATGCAGTTGTTGCTTAAGATTATTGAGAAAAGTTTGGTGTATGAATTAATGAATTTTATTCAGTGTGTAATACTAGGACCGATTTTGTTGTTAATAAGTAATAAAGTAGAGAATTGTATTAGTTTGTAGAGGGTAGACTTGTATATATTGAAATGGTCGATGGAGTGGACTTGCCTTTGATTTTAATATATATTAGATTGATTTTTTTAGTTTTTGTAGATTCAGACATCTTTCAATTATGTGGCTATATTAAACCTTAATTTTCTTGTTGCTATATGATAGGAGCTTGGTGTTTGGGAGTTTGAATGTGAAGCACTTTATATTAGTGTAAGGTGTAACATTTTCTATTATGTTGTTTAAGATGGATCATAATTCAAGATGAGAGCTAGAAGTATAAGGAAATAGTTGAAAGCTATTGTTGTTCTCTACTTCAATTATATTGTTTTTTTGAATTACTACTATGTTAATAGAAGCATTAGCTCAGGAAATTATTGGCCATGTTTGAATTGAAACTATTTCGTTGCTGATAGGTTTGGAAATAAGTTGTATGTCAACTTCATTTAGATCATTAAGAAGGTAGAAGAGGTTGTTGTTTTTCTTATACCATATTGATTTTACTATTTCAACTAGTTTTCTTTTGATATAAGGTTGAGTCTGACATTGGTATTAATTTAGGTGATTTGTGTTCTCGTCTACAATGTAATATTGTTCTCTAATTATTTCTTTATTGTTGTAATTCTTTCTCGTTTTTATGAATTCTATATAGTTGTGTTTTTAAAAGCCCAAAAAATATTTTGGATTAGGGAGAGGTAATGTGTTACCAGTTATTGTGGAGAAGTTTTCTTTGAGGTCAGTGTATCAACTGGAGATACAACCAAGAGTGACTCGTCCTATTTTTGTATGGAGTTCATCCCATGAATTTATGCTGGATTTGTTGTATTGTGTGATTTGTCTGACTATTTTAATGTTATGTCTTGATAAGTAAAGGGCTGTTGTCTTGTTTATTTTGGTGTGAAGGCCTATGGATAGCCATGCGTTCTTGTGTAAGAAAGGACATAGATTTGGAAAGATGTTTATTTTGTAGTCTACTGTAATGTGGGCTACTTCTGTAATCCAGGATTGTTCAAAATGTTGGAGATGGCAGATTGGACATAGTCAGATTGTGCTGCTCATTTGGATTGATAAGATTTCTTGTTGAATAAAGGGAGTGGTTTTCTTGTTCACTAAAATAATGGCTAGTAATTTAATCAATGTAATTGTCTTCTGGTCCTTGAGGGCTGTTAAATTGATGCCAGCTTGTGAAAAGTAGGCTCTATTTGATAGGGTGCATTCTATACTCAATTTCTTTTTTATTGCTTTATTTAATGATATTTGAAGTGTGTTGATAGTGTGTTTTCTTAAAGGCTTGACTTGAAGAGCATAGTCAATCTGAGCTGGGATAATTTATTGTGAGACTTGCTTTGTGATGGTCCATTTCACATTTTCTGGTTGGCAATGATTTTAATGAATTCATTAGATTTCTTTAGGAGCCTTCATTTTGTTGACAGGTCTGGGGACTGACCAGATAAGTAGATTTCTTGATATTTGATATCTTGTTCGAATAGTTTGGAAGTAATCTCTATATCCTCTACTTTTAGAGTTTGTTTGCATTTGTTACTTTTCCAGGAGTGGTTTATTATTAGATCAGTTTTTGCTTTATTGCAGGTTATGTGGTTCATTTTAAGGAATAATGTGAATATGTTCTGTAGGGTTGCTAATATTTGTGTGAAAATTGTGACATAATTAATGCAAGTGAAGATGTTGTTGTTGTGTGGTAGAATCTTTTGTATCTTTGAGATAACTGTATTATAAAAAATAACCCATAACAAAGGTTCTATGGTTTCTCCTTGGTCCAGTCCTTGTGAAACTAATATAGGGTGGATCAGGTTGTAGTAAAATATGAACTGAAGTGACCAGTTCATTAATAGTTTCATGATGATGTTGGTAAATTTTGTAGGTAGTTTTATTCTCTTCATGGTAGACTCAAGTCTCTTGAGGTTGATTGAATCACATGCCTTTGAGATATCGAAAGAGGCTAGCCAGTATTTTTTGCCATGGTTTGTATAGGTGCTGATGAGTAACCTGATGATGGCTAGTGGTTCGAGGGTACTTTGATCTTTTGTGCCGACAAAATTGGATAATGATAGAATGTCAAACTCAGCTATTATTGATGATAATCATTTGTTGAGAATTTTGTTAAAGATTTTTCTGCTCGTCTCTATGAGGGCAATCAGTCTGGTGTTATTGAAATTGTGGGACCAGATAAGTTTTTTTGGTAAGAATGTAATGATAGATCGTTTCCATGTTCTGGGTGATTTTCGTTTCTTACTATTTTGTTGAAGAGCTCTTTTAGTGCACTGAAAGCTGAGGTTCCTATATGTTTTTACGCTTTATAGGGAAACTTGCTGGGGCCTGAGGCT